CACCAGGCTCTGGTATCTCCCACCCGTGCCCCCAGCAGGGCCTATAGGCTTGTTCGCCTTGCCGGTAGCAGGGGAGTGAGGCCAGCAGGCAGTGAGAGGTAGCTTGGATGTGGGCTCCAGGCCTGTGCAGACCGTGGAGAACTCAGCTGGCCTCTCTTTTCCTCCCCTCGCTTGACACAGGGATGCGCTGGACGCCCTGGGCCTGAAGCGCTACTGCTGCCGCCGGATGCTGCTGGCCCACGTGGACCTGATCGAGAAGCTGCTCAATTATGCACCCTTGGAGAAGTGACCAGGCTGGAATCCACCTACCTGCCATGCTGACCATGGGCCATGAGCATCCTGCCCCAAGTTCACAAGGCTGAGGCATCCAGGAGCTGGCGCAATGCCTCGCCACAGCGTGTGTGTGTCCCATCCCCCACTCTGGAAGGAACAATCCAGTAAAGGTCTTTCAGAACTACCAAGGTCCCAGCCCTCACTAGGATGTCAGGGGCCAGGACTAGGCCCAGCTCTCACACCGCGGCAGCCCAGGGAAGCCGACTGGGCCATGAATTCTCCTAGCCCTGGGGCCAGCCTGTTCCACAGGTACCCCTGCAGGAGGTGCTGCCAGGAGAGCCTTCCATCTCAGGGCTGAGGTTCCCTCCTTCTGGGTGCTCTTCAGACCTGCTGAGTCCTGGTCACATGTGAAACCCCAGGCTCGTGTGTGCCAGCCTGCCATAGGCTCTCAGTGCAGCTTGCTGGACAAATGAGTAAAGCGAGTGGGCTGCCGGAGTGAGTGGCTGGTGGCCTGTCCAGACCCTTTCCCAGGGATATGAACGGCAGGGGCCTCCCATGTGGCCTCCCCTTTCCCAAGCTTCTGTCTCTGCACATTGGAGCCATCAGTGTGGGAGTTTTCTGGAAGTATTGATGGTGACTGGACCTTGGTCCCAGGGAAATTAAAGCTTCTAATTGGCTTGGGAAATGGGAAAGGTGGCTCCCTGGAGCAGCAGTCTCTCCCTGATTGAAGGAAGCAGAGGTGAGGAAAGACGCCACAGTGGCAGAGTAGGGCTTGCTCTGGCCAGGGTGGGGGATGAACCAGCTAAGGGCAGGCCCCTGGAGAGCTACCCTGCTGTGGCTGGTGCGGGATGAGGGGAGCTGCACATCAGGACCTCGGTGGCCTTGGTTTTCTATGCTCCCCCAATTACTTCTAGTTTTCGTTTTATTTATATTTCTTACATATGTTAGACACACATATGTACAGCCAGAGTAGGTGGGAGAGGAGGCTCCTCATGCTCCACCCAGCGATCTGGGCATTGCCAGGTTACTCCAGTCAGGATCATACCGCTAGGTCTCTACTTCTGATCCGGGTGAATGTGTTCGTCTTGCCGGTAGCAGGGGAGTGAGGCCAGCAGGCAGTGAGAGGTAGCTTGGATGTGGGCTCCAGGCCTGTGCAGACCGTGGAGAACTCAGCTGGCCTCTCTTTTCCTCCCCTCGCTTGACACAGGGATGCGCTGGACGCCCTGGGCCTGAAGCGCTACTGCTGCCGCCGGATGCTGCTGGCCCACGTGGACCTGATCGAGAAGCTGCTCAATTATGCACCCTTGGAGAAGTGACCAGGCTGGAATCCACCTACCTGCCATGCTGACCATGGGCCATGAGCATCCTGCCCCAAGTTCACAAGGCTGAGGCATCCAGGAGCTGGCGCAATGCCTCGCCACAGCGTGTGTGTGTCCCATCCCCCACTCTGGAAGGAACAATCCAGTAAAGGTCTTTCAGAACTACCAAGGTCCCAGCCCTCACTAGGATGTCAGGGGCCAGGACTAGGCCCAGCTCTCACACCGCGGCAGCCCAGGGAAGCCGACTGGGCCATGAATTCTCCTAGCCCTGGGGCCAGCCTGTTCCACAGGTACCCCTGCAGGAGGTGCTGCCAGGAGAGCCTTCCATCTCAGGGCTGAGGTTCCCTCCTTCTGGGTGCTCTTCAGACTGAGCAGAGGCTCCTGTACCCTCTGTCTTGGAATCTGAAGAGCCAGATTTAGGCCAGGCACGGTGGCTCACCCCTATAATCCCAGCACTTTGGGAGGCCAAGGCGGGTGGATCACGAGGTCAGGAGATTGAGGCCATGCTGGCTAACACGGTGAAACCTCGTCTCTACTAAAAATACAAAAAAAAAAACCAGCCAGGCGTGGTGCCGGGCGCCTGTAGTCCCAGCTACTCGGGAGGCTGAGGCAGGAGAACTGCTTGAACCCGGGAGGGGGAGCTTGCAGTGAGCCGAGATTGCGCCACTCACTCCAGCCTGGGTGACAGTGAGACTCCATCTCAAAAAAAAAGAAAAAAAAAGAACCAGATCGTCTGGGGCCCAGTCTTTGCTATGGTCATGGCTGCCAGCACCTGCTGGCCCCTGCCCACTGCTGCCTGTCCCTGAGGGTCCCACCCAGCCTAGCAGGGAGGGCAGGCCTTAAGACACCCCTAGCTGGCTTGGGAGGCGGCCCTAAGGAGGCCCTGCTGTCCAGGCAGTGCTGCCAGCAAGCACCCCAGGTCAGATGGCCCTGCTGCTGAGATACCTGGCGTGGTGCCCTCTGGTGGGGGAGAATGGGTCTGCCTGAGGGTCTTCAGTTCTGAGACTTAGGGACAGGA